TACTGCTCAGCAGGGAACACAAAATGTATAAATCGAATAGATTATAATACAGTGCTCAAATATCGTGAGATTGCAGGTTCGATTCCCACCAGACACCTCGTTTTTTTCACATAATAAGGAACTGTTGTTAATGAATTACGTTTGATTACATATTATTATTATTCCGAATTATGCGTGTAATCAGCACTATTAATTTCATTGCGAATCATTACCTCCTACCAGGTACCCATTTATACTATTTATAAAACAAAGAAACGTTAAGAAGGGAATGCCAAAGAGGAACCAAGGTATGGAATCCCCAATATCACGCAACAGTACTACAATTGCTATTCAATGACAATTTCATACTAACATTTTTGTGGCATTTATAGAAACTTCAAACTGGTATGAGGCTGAATTCATTTAATATTTATAGATTTTTATTGTTATATGTAAGAAGCTCTAAATATTAAATATTTACCTTTAATAGTAACTATAAATGTACACATTTCGTTGTTATTAGACAAGTCCACAGCAGAACATGTAACATTAGTAGAGCCGACAGCAAACAGCGAACCAGAAGATGGACTACATGTAGCTCTCAGACCGGTATCAACATTGTCAGTTACATTTACGTCACTCCAAGTCACCGGATGCACATGCTGGTCAACATCATGTTCAAATCTTACAAAAAAATTTTCGGGGCACGTGATGACAGGACTACCGGTATCTAAAAATATTTAATTTGACGGTGCATTAAAAAACTTTGAGGTCATGCAACAGTATGATTGTGACAGAAAGGAGTCCAAATCAAATATTACAACTGAGGCATTTTACAAGATAATTAGCTTCATATTGTGGGACCGTTATACTACACAATGTAATATCGTAATCGTTCGTAATAAATAATGTTAATATACTACCGTAATTGATATTTAGTATCTAGACTGATGTCCTCAAAACCAAAATGACTATAAAAACACAAGGTACTTTATTGTATACTGCCTAATTCGTGGTACGTATTCTGTTCAAAATAGGAACAGTTCCATTAAACATCTATCTAGGTCATGCGGTGCCGTTCCAGTCTTCTGTGTCGTACACGGCTGCTGTAAATTGACACAATTTGATTCAGAAATTTGATTAACATTAAATTAAAAATCTTTAAAATCCATACCGTTTATATTGACAATAAACGAACAACTGCCTTCATTTCTAGCTGCATCAGTGACGGTACACGTAACGTTAGTTGAGCCGACAGAAAACAGCGACCCAGAAGGTGGATCACAGGCAGCTCCGAGATCGTTATCAACATTGTCAGTTACATTTACCTCATTCCAAGTTATATTCGATTGCTCAAGTTCAGAGACAGCATCAATATTTTCAGGACATACGATGACTGGACTCCCAACATCTAAATACATGTTCAAATATTATGTATGATATCAATCGATGGTATATATTTATATGTATAATTATATATAATTAGGCATAGATATATATATACATATATATATATTACACTATT